CTAGCAGTCCAGGGGACTCTTAAGAGTCTTCTCCAGCACCACAGTTCAAAGGCATCAATTCTTCGGCGCTCAGCCTTCTTTATGGTCCAGCTCTCACAGCCATACATTACTACTGGAATAACAATTATACCCCAATTTAATTTTTATTTTTTTTATTTTCTCCTTCTTGCCTAGCATAACCAGCTATGCATCCTCTTGGTGAGCCTTTGGAATGCAATCTTTTAATATGTTTTCCAACTCCTTGAGCATTTCTTGAGACTGCATTATTAACATTTGGTAACAAGTCATATACCAGCAGTACAATTTCTCTCTATTTTCCATTGAAAAAAATGAAAAAATATCAAGATGACTTAAACTTTTAGCAAACATTTCCTAAAATCAATAATGTCCCTCTGATGCTACCCCATCCTGTAGTTACTAGCTGCCAAAAGTAGGCTAAAAAATGCAACTCCCAGAGATGTTTAGGGATTAACAGATTTATTTTCACATAAACTTCCATGGCTCCCATTCCACTTCAACAGATCTGTGGCATCAGATCTCAAAATGGGACTTTATACATTAAAACTGCCACTGTGAATTGGTCTTGGAAGGCTGTTGCCAATCAATACAGCTACTAGACTATGTGTTGAGGCTGTAACAATGGTTCTCCCTTTGTGTGTTCTGTACCAATTTTAGTTTCGGAGTCATTTTCCAAGGCACAGAATGGTCTAAACCTGTGGTGATAAGGATGTAAGTCACTGTTGGCAGGGCTTCCTGGTCCAGGATAGGTTGCAATGGAAGCTCCAGTCCACAGCCTTCATGTATTGCTCACCAGGAGCCATGAATCCAGGACAATCACCAAGCCTGGATGTGATCCTATATTAGAGCAGTCGCCAGAACTGAATCATAGCCAAGACATTTTGAAACAGTTTCTTTGTCTTGCTAAGATTCAATTCGAGCCTGAAAAATAAATAAAATTGAGAGTTAAAAAGTCTTTACCTATGACCTACATTCCTAAACTGGATGTCTATTTTATAATACATGGATTATATAGAGATTATATACAAGCTCTATATAATTCATGAGAAAATGGTATTAAATCCTCTAATGATTTTAGCTAATCAGTTTTAGATTCAAAACTGTCTTTATAATTTCATTTTTCCAGTCCTTGAAGAGAGCCCAAAGAAATTTAAATGCTGGTTTTGGGCCATTTAAGTATGCTCACAGGATAGTTAGATCCATTTATGCTTTTGTGCACCACTAGGGCACTGTGGAAGGAAAAGGTGTGGTTTGGCATGGAAATAAATGCCTCACAGCTCCTCCCTTCCCTGTTGCTTTACACAACCCACCTGCTTACACCAATGTTGCTTTGAAGAAAAAAGCAGAAATTTCCAGCCTAGCCAGGGTTTGTGTGTCTGTGTGTGTGTCTGTGTGTGTGTGTGTGTGTGTGTGAGAGAGAGAGAGAGAGAGAGAGAGAGAGAGAGTAAAGCAAAGGAGCATGAGAGAGAGAAGCATGCAGATTTTGCTTCCAGATTTGGGCTGGTTGGAGTGAGAAAGTGAAAGAAATGCTTCAAGAAACTGAAAAGTATGTTTTTTCCTTTAAGCTAAATAGCTAGAAATTAAGTAGCTAAAAGCTGAACAGGAATAGCAGCTGGCTCTGGGCAATCAACCAGACATTGTGATAGTATACAAGGACCAGAAGACAGTCGTGGTGATAGATGTAGCGGTGCCAAGTGACAGCAACATCAGGAAGAAGGAGTATGAGAAGCTGGAAAAGCACCAAGGCCTGAAGGAGGAACTAGAGAGGATGTGAAAAGTAAAGGCCAAAGTGGTCCCAGTGGTGGTAGGAGCACTTGGGGCATGATTCCTAAGCTGG